TTTGCATATATCTTCTATATCTTTAGAAATGCCTGGCCACCAGCAGTATCCTCTTGCAAGCATCTTCATCTTGACTATGCCAAAATGAGCAGTATGTAATTCATTTAAAACTTTTTTACGTAGGTTAGTTGGAATAACTGCCATTTGTTGCCGAAAAATACAATTTCCTTGTAAAGAAAATTCTATCTGTGGGACATTAAATCTATCCCTAGCATCAATCAGTTTTCCAGTTCCTAGAGCATTGTAAAGATTTTGTAGTGTGGGGTCTCTTGTAGTTTCAAAACTTAATTCCTTAAAAGTAACAGGTAAAGTTTCTATTTGACTTATTTCAAACTGATCTCCCACGTCATAATCAAATTCAGAAGTATTATCAAGAGGTAGTCTTGACATTGCATCAGCATTTGCATGGACTTTAGTATTTTTATACTTAATTGTGTAATTAAAACTTTGAAGAAACAGTGCATAATGTTGCATTCTAGTTGTAGTTAGTGTAGGTAAATTTTTAGATGGAGAGAATATTTGAATTAAAGGTTGATTATCCACATAGAGTGTAAACTCTCTACCAAATAGATAATAGTAAAATTTTTTAATACCAAAAATTATGGCATATGCTTCTTTATCTATTTGAGCATATTTTTGTTGTACTTTTGTAAGTGTTTGTGAAGCAAATTGAATTGGTCTCTCAGATCCATCCGGATATATGTGAGATAATACTGCTCCAACTGCATATGGACTCGCATCAGTTGCAAGTATTAAAGGTAAACTTGGGTCAAAATGTGCTAAAATTTTATCAGAGATCATTTCTCTTTTTACTGCTGTAAACGCTTCTTCACATTTTCTGTCCCATTTGAAAGATACTCCATCTTTAAGAAGATTGTAAATTGGATGTAAAGTATGGCTCAAATTTTGTAAGAACCGTCCGTAGTAATTTATGAGTCCTACTAATGCTCTAACTTCTGTCTTGTTTGTAGGTGTTTTTGCTTTCTGTATAGCTTCCATCTTTTCTTTGGTTTTATGTATACCATTTTTGTCAATTTTATATCCACAGTATTCAATCTGATTTGCTAAAAATTGACATTTTTCATGATTGACTCTAATATTGTATTTTGCAAGTCTGCTAAGAACTAATTCTAGTCTTTGATAATGTAACTCATCATCGGGTGCTGTAATTTTTATGTCATCTAGGAAAACTGTCACTCCTGGGATATCTTTTAAAATGTTTTCAATTTCCCTCTGCCATATTGCAGGTGCACTGGAAATACCATACATTAATCTTGTACTTCTATACAATCCCCTGGGTGTACTAAGTGTTAAGTATTTCCTATCTTCTGGGCGTACTTCCATTTGTAGGTATGCTTGTTGTAAGTCAAGCTTTGTAAACTTATCTCCACCAGCCATGGTAGAAAATAGAGCTTCAATTGTAGGCAATGGGTATTCGTCTACCACTAAATGCTTGTTAAGTGTACTTTTAAAATCTCCACAAATCCGTACTTGACCATTACTTTTCATAACTGGTACTATAGGTGTAGCATATTCAGAACTATTAACTTTTTCTAAAATACCTTCTTTTTCTAACTTCGTAAGTTCTTGTTCCACTTTTGGTAATAACGCATATGGTATCTTCCTTGCTTTAATAAAGAAAGGTGAAGTGGTTGGTTTAACTTTTAATGTGGCTTGTAAGCCTTGAATTTTACCCATGCTTTCATGGAAAACTACCGAATATTTTGTAAGTAGATTGTTAAGTTTTGTATTTGTAAATTCAGATACTTCTGAAATGTTATTAAAGATTATATCTAACTGGCGTATCCATTCCCTACCCATTAATGGTGGTCTATCTGAATTTACTATCTACATATATAAAAATTTTGTATCTCCCTTGTACTTGACACTCACCTCTGTAACACCCACCACATCTAATGCCTGTTTGCAATATGTAACTAATTTTAAATTAGTATTTTGTAATTTTAAATTAGGAAAATATGTTTTAAAATCATTCAAATTTAATAATGTAACAGCTGCACCTGAATCTATTTCAAAAGATAGGCTTACCTTGTTGACTTCAACTGAAATTGTAAATTTTTCCCTATAGTATGAATGATCTGAATGAATGTTGAAAATTTCTTCCACTTGATCTACCTGATTTGAACTTTTACTTTTCATGCATACTTTGCTCAGATGACCTCCTCGTTTACATTTGCTACAGACTAAATGTGTTTTATTACATTTGTTTGCAATATGTTGTGAAGATCCGCATCTAAAACAAAATATATTTTTAGCTTGGTTATGAATATCATTTCTTTTCCCATTTGTAGGTTGTATGTGTCCTTGTTTATTCTTGACACTAGAAACTTTATTTATATTTGCACTTGTATTTGACTTCTGTAATCGAGCTGCATCTCGGGTTGATGTCTCCATGCTGACGGCAACTTCTAATGCTCTCTCTATCGTAAGGTCCTTGTATTCTAGGAGTCTGCTTTGAATATTTTGGTTTCGAAGACCAAATACGAATTGGTTTCTCAGGGCTTTGTTTAAATAATCCCCAAATTTGCAAGTTGTGGCTAATCTTCGTAAAGCTGTAATGTATTCATTGGCACTTTCCCCTTCATGTTGTTTTCTTTGTGAAAATCTGAAATTTTCCACTATTTCCAACGGTTCAGGGTTGTAATGTAGTTTCATTGTATTTACCAGTTCATCATATGATTTCTCGTCTGGTTTTTCCGGTGAAATCTTGTCACAAAGAATATCATATGCATCTGGACCCATGTAATGTAGAAGGTATGCGGCTTTCTTGTCTTCTGGTACTGCAAAAACATTGAATGCACTCTGAAGACGTTGTAACCACCGGTCAAAATTCTTGGATGTATCGTAAGTTTCAATGCTAAATACGGTATGAACTGAATGAATTGTAGTCTCAGTCATCCTTTTAATGTATATGTAGTTGTAAATCAGACAGGATTTCACTTATGGATGTAGATTTGTAAATTTTCACTGGTTCACCACGCTGCAGTTAGGTTATGTATGTATACTGGCCTTAAATTTGTATTTCCTTGTAGATTCGACCGTCCTCGTCGCCAAACTGTTGTGTATATAGGTGTAATGTAATTAAAATGGTGTAGAATGTATTTTATATTCCTTTATTTCCCTTACTAATCAAAGACCATCTACTCCATAGACGGTTCACGACAATGCTTTAGTTCTATCCAAATTTTGCGCCACCTGGGGATGGATATCTGAACTATTTCTAATGGCGGGGAATTTAAACGAAATTCTAAAAGGGGGAATTTCAAATATTAAACCGCGAAATTTAAATTGTAAATAAAGCGGGAAATTTAAAACTTTTATACAGATTTAGTAGATGATCTCCGATTTTCATGAAATTTGGTATATTTGCGTATTTTTAGCTGCAGATCACGAACATAAATATAAAACATTTTTGGGGAAATGGATAGTTTTTGAGTTAGTGTATTTTCGTAGTATCTTTCACTTTAATTGCGTCAAGTGCTTCTTTAAACACGCTGTGTATAACATACTTCCTTCTTTTAAGGACTGCCTTACAAAAACTTATAGATGGTTTATTTTATTTTTATATTTAATCAATTTAGAGATAGTGTATTAAAACGGCAATGTTTGTTGACGAAAGCCATGCTAATTTTTAAATGTGATGTCACAAACAACATTGTGAAGTTCAGAAGTTTTATTGAAATAAAAAAGAATAAAAGACTTATAACCATTTTTTATAAAGTAGTATGAAGAATTAAAAGAAGAAAGTATATATATATATATATATATATATATATATATATATATATAATATATATATATATAATATATATATATATATATATTATATAATGTGTTGAAACAAATAATACCTGACGCCGTTAATGTGAGAGATAGATAATAGAGCCCGAAAAAAGACTGACTCAAAAACTATATATTTCCCATAAAAAATATTCGTGATTTATAACCCAAAATATGTAAATATGCCAAATTTCATAAAAATCGGATAGGAGCCTATCTACTAAACAGTTATCAAAACTATAATAAAAGGCACAGGGATGAAATTATCTTTTATTAAAGGAGGAAAAATAAAGAAAAATTTTAAGACTATAGAAGATTTTTAATTAGGATAAATACAATCCAAGAACCAATCGTTTTATTAACTTACCACCAACAAGTTGATCGACAATAAAAAAAAATAATTGGTTAAATAATAGTCTCAAATATACACACTAAACAATTAATTAACACACTAAATAACTAATTAACACTAAAAATACAAACTATAAATAAGAATAATACGGATATAAGGAAGAATAAACACCAAATTAGATTAAAAAACAATATAAAATGGAGAACGTAAACAAACGTAAACTGTTAAACCGGGTAACATAAACATAAGTCATAGAACACTAACAAACATTTCGACTCTGTCATCAAACAGATACCATAGAACAATTGTTACCGTGATTGTTACTGTTCTCTGAAAATACTTCCTTATCGCGACATCTATTGATGGATATCGGTAATACAATTTTATATTTGACCTTGGTCATCTGCGTGAAACGTCTATTGGTGTAAATGGTCTTTGTTACTAATTAAACATGTGCGTGGTAACTTATGTAGGTATCTTATATGCTATATCCCTATCTGTCAAGTGTAAAGTGTAATGTCCCCTGACATCCGTCAACCGACAAGTGTCATGTCATGGAACTAAAAGTCAAGAGTCAAGTATATGACAGTTTTTATCATCGACTTTTCCTTAGTCTCTTTTATTTTGTCCCTTATTAATTTATGTTTTTCTCTGTACTTATTTGGATTTTTCTTTCTATATTTTCACTATGATAGAATACGATGGATACAGTTGCACAGTTGGTAAACTTGAATTTTTTTTATTTTTAAGTAAATGGTTATCGTTTGGTTTTATAAATTCATTTTGTTAACGCTTAAATATATACATATCTCGTGAATATAATGAATATAATGAACTTGAAACTTACTTATTGGTATGCATAATACATTCTCCCGGACTAGCAGTAAAAATATTTAATTGAGATTCATCTTTGTCTGATGGAGCCATCTCCGCATTATGAAACATTCTATCGCCCTCTTGTTTTAAAAACGTCATGTTAATGGAACAGCCATTTCCTGCACCACATCCTCGATCTCGTAAAATATCTTGGGCTTGCACAAAGTTCTCAGCGCCTAGGAGAGCTCTTGTAATGAACATCCTTGCTGTAAGGATACAAATAATATTATTATTTAAATAGAAGAAGGAACATCTGGTTATAGGAAGTATTCCTATAATGTATGGATTCGGCATCTACGTCCATGAATGGGAGCGAATTATTAAATAAAAATCATAGCTACATACCAATTTAATACCAGGGACCTATATGAAGTTTTATATTGTTGTTTTAGACATTGGATTCTAATATACGATGACCTAATTAAATGCAACCATAGTAAGGAAAAAATTTATATATCAATGTAATGAGGTGACACTTGAAGATAGAGTAGAGTAGAGTAAATCTTTTTTTTGCATAAATTTTTAAACATTATTCAGCAAATAACGTTACATTATTAATATATTAACATTACAAATTAAATACGCTAATCAGGGAGAACGATAAACCAGGCACTCCGCCACAGTATAGGGCTCAACGTTAACTAGGTGTTGAAAAGTCTTTCTTTTAAAAGCTCTATAGCGTATTTCCTGTTGAATGTCGAATGGTAGATTATTATAAAATTTAGCACACGCATACAAAGGACCAGTGGCGGCTCGTGACATCTGCTATAGGGTGTGCTGCATGAACCACGGTCAATATAAAATAATAGAAATAGAATAACATACGAAAACAAAAACAATAAAATTAGCTTTAATACTAATTAATAGTAACTAATAACGACATGCTATAAAAATCTGATTAACTTACATTTATTGCATTTTTCTAAATTGGAAATTAATACGCCGGTCCTTTTTTGTCGCAAACTTTTCGATTACTTTATCGTTAAAGTTCGGTATTGAAGCGATGAACTTTTTTTCTATCGAGAGTGTGGAAAGGGCTGTTAATCTGTCTTCGCACATTGAATTTCTTAAAAATGTTTTGATCCGTTTTAAAGTTGAAAAACTACGTTCAGCTTCTGCTGTGGTCATTGGCGTAGTCACCAGAATTTGTATCAACTTTTTGGTTTCTGTTAATGTGTCCTCTAAATTATTAGAAATTATAAATTTTAGTAAAGGCACTGCACCTTTTAATGTTCTACACTCGATATTGGAATACAAAACTGACAGTTCTGTTCGCAAACGGTTTTTATCAAAGAAGTTATAAGCTGTACAAGTTAAATCCAATTCATTTTCAGGAAACTTATTATTATATTTTTCGAAATGTTCTGAAGATAAAAGTGTTGCGGCAACTAGATGATTTATATATGCAAACCGTTCGTTTGCATTGTTTATAATAACATCACAAACTTCTAGACAGGCAATACGGTGATCCTGTTGGCTGTTATTTGGGCGTTTCCTTTTTTGGACACTAGGCGCCGCATTTAAATTTGAAGCTTGATGTATGATAGGGTCTATTTTATTTCGGACATTGTTAATACTTTGCTCAAAAACATGTATAGCTTTCTGTGCTTCGGTTGGGTCCATGTTCTTTTTTTGAAGATTATTGTACAAAACGTCAACATGTGGCATAATATAATGAAAAACAGTCAGCCAGAAAGTAAAATTTTGATCTTCCAGAATACGTCTAAGTCCTCTTGCTTCCTTGGAAGTAATAGCATTTGACTCTTCTTCTAGTTGCTCCATACACTCAATAATAAAGTCTCTATATTCGTAAACGACATTTACTGTACGAATATTGAAATTCCAGCGTGTAGGGATTGAACGAGGAATATTTTTTCCAACTATTTGATTTAAGACAGCTATTCTTTGAGGTGAATGACTAAAAAATCCAGGTATATCATGTAAATCTCCAAAAAATACGCGTACTTGGAATTAATAGAACATGCTCTTGACATTATTAGATTCAATTGATGGGCGTAACAGTGCACAAAATGAGCAGTTTCATATTTTCTCTTAATTATTGTTTGCACTCCGCCATGTATCCCACTCATAACAGCTGCTCCGTCATAACTTTGTGCAATGAGCTTATTTTTGTTATTCTTTAATATTGGGTCTAAAACATTCAAAATTGTGTTCGCTAAGGTTTCAGCATCATGTTTTTCTGGAAGCAAAAAAGTCCAAAACCTTTCAACTGGAGCACCGTTTTTTACATAACGAAAAACAATGACCATTTGAAATTTCATAGAAACATCCGTTGTCTCATCAGCTATCACTGCTAAAAATGGGGCTTCATTGATTTCGTTTAAAATCTCCTCAGCGTATACTTCTAGCATGCAATCCAAAATATCATTTTGTATTGTTTTTGAGGTACCTTTGAAAATTGTCGCATTTGTAAGGTGTTCACTAAGTGTTTTATCAAGTTCAGCAGAAAAATTCACTAAACCACGAAAAATTCCAGGGTTATCTGATGTTTCAGATTCATCGTGTCCTCGTAAGGCGAGCTCAAAAGCCCCACAGAATTGTATACAGTCAATTATTTTTGACAAAACATACCTGTTTTTCGTCACCTCTTCATTGTGTTTTTGTATATTTATCCAATAAGCAGAGTCAAGTTGGGCCTGTATATTAAGTTTGGCAAATAATGCAAATCGCATTTCATTGTTCATATGAGTTTGCGTGTTTTCATGCTTCTTTATTTTTTCACTTAAATGCACTAGATCCCGCACTCCTGTCTCGCGCCACAATTTTTCCTCTTTATCTGCGCCGAATAATGCACACGGAAAACAGAAAAAAGCATTTTTTTCGGAACATCCACAAATCCACTGATTTCGTAGATACATGTCTTTATTAAATTTACGCGTATATGTTTTTCCACGGCTTTTACCGGACACTTCAATATTAAGATCAGGCATAGGACGGCCACGTTCTTTTATAATCAACTGTTGTTGATAGTGAAGTTTTTGAAATTTATTTACACCTAATTTAAATTGAAACTCCATTGTTTTAAACACGCTCGAACAAAACAAATTAAACAAAATTGTAACCTAAGAATTTCTAAACACGGCACAGATGCAACGGTCACGAATAACTGTCGTGAATTGCAGCTCGCAAACACATTTCCGAGGCCGTTAATCAGCCGATTGCCGAAGCACATCGGCTAAGATCGCCGTTTGCCTAATAAATGCATTTTACCGCTGCCAGTGTTTCGGTTGTTATCGACGCGGCTTCACTGGAGCAGCAAATACGTAAAAAGATTGGTTCACTGAGCACCAAATACGTAAAAAAATTATACGGTTTCACTAGAGGAGTAAATACGTAAAAAAAATAATATTAATCATCGTTGTTGGTGAATTATTATTAACAGTTTATGTTTAATATGATAATATGGCAGATTTGAAATAAAACTATATTAATTATTCTTTAATAATTAAGATTTGCTATGGTTGTTTGGTAGTTCTGCAGCTCAGCAGCACATAAAGAAAAGCCGCCACTGCAAAGGACATCTCTCTGTTATAGACAATCTGTAAAGAGGCAAATTCAAATTGGCTTGTATTATATTCATGATTGGGAAGTGGGTGATAAAACAAAGTAAAATTTTTAAAACGGAATATAATACATTCAAATATATCGATGGCTGAGAAAGTAAGTATATTGAGTGATTTGAATCGGCCTATACAAGATTCTCCTGCCTTTAAGGTAAGATATACATCAATGGAGGGAAAAATTGTACCATGAAAATTCTAAAGTAGAACAAGATCGGCTGATTTGTAGGTTTTTAGCTGTAGGAGAACCGTCTAGAAAACGAGGTGAGAAAAATTTTGAATATGTTGCCTATGTGAGTCCATTTCAAATAAGTCAAATAAATAAGAATAAAACTTACTTACGATCTATTTATTTCATATATTCCGTTGGTACCACCAACGACCGATTTCATAAACTATAATTTGTTATGCATCTTCAGGTCTTAAGGTACATAGTAAACTAAATGCTGAAATTACAAAAAACCCGCATTATGGTGATTAAAGCAGATGAAGTAAAATTAAGTGACACATTAAGTGAAAATAATCTAGTAAATTGAAATTAAATTAGTAAATAACCAATAAATACTACTTACATGCCGGTACAAGAATTATTATTTAGTGATTTAGGGACGGTTCTACAATACTAGTATATACTGAGAATAAAGTTATACTTTGAATAACTTCATTAATGGTGTTCTACAAACAAATAATAAACTAGGAATAAGATAATTGGAGTATATCTATAGAATAACTTTATTCCTCCAAAGTTGAGCAGATATACTGAGTATAAATTTAAACTGCATTTCTATTGGTCGGTGAGGGGTTGTCAAATCTGTGATACTTTAACCTCACTTCATGCCATTCGATCTTTGAACTGTGGTTTTGTTTGTTTTTATATTAAAATAAAATTTTTGATATAGATCCAGTTAATATTAATATTTTTTAATCTGATAATGAAGATTTTGAAGAAGGAATACCTAGGCTAAAGGTCAATTCAGACACATCAGTCACGTCTCGTCACAGTGATTGCGCCGAACCGAACAATCCGTCATATAAAATATTCTTTAATAGAAATTGTTGCCGGCATTCACACTCATCAGTTGACAAACAGTTTCCCAGCTGTCAGATAGTTGATAGCTCTGGTCACAGAACTATCAACCGATTACTATTTTAATGTCATTTTTAGGACAATTGTCATATTTTCTTCCTTGTCCTCTATTAGGGAATGTACATTTATTGGTTATTTACTAGTTTAATTTCAATTTACTAGATTATTTTGTGTCACTTAATTTTACTTTTTCTGATTTAATCAATTTAAGTCATATCTAATATTCACATGCACCAAACCAGCACCCTAATGCAGGTTTTTGTAATTTCAGCATTTAGTTCACCATGTACCTTTAGACCTGAAGATGCATAGCAAATTATAGTATGCGAAACCGGTCGTTGGTGGTAGAATAAATAGATTGTAAGTAAGTCTTATTCTTATATCTTTTACCTATTTAAAATTGTCTTATTTTCAACATTTCAAAGAATTTTCGCAAAAAGTTCAACATTGCGTTTAAATCTCCGTCAGCTGATATATGCAGCTTATGTGAAATACTGAGAAAAGAATTCATAAACTGCGAGTTAACCAGTTCTACAAGTTAATGAAGAAAATATCAGAAAACTGTTTGACTTACTATTTCGATCTAATACAGAAGCCAAAGAAGCTAAAGCCCAAAGTGGTTGCATAGGCTGTAGCATCTGCACTTTTATATTTTCTAAACTCTCTGGAAATCTTATCGGAAATAAATGCTATTACTGTATTTGTGATGGATGTGGTGGAGAAAATAAAAACAAACACGTTATCCATATGCTATGGACATATCACGTTATCCATAACTATGGTTAAAATAGTATTTTCTGTAAGAGGACATAACTTTCTTCCAGCCGACAGGCCATTTGGAAGAGTCAAAAAGTTATTGAGGAAAGAACCTTTATCAAGACGAAAGAACAATACCATAAAATTTATAAAGAAGTTCGAAAAGTCTATGTTTTGGAGAAAGATAGGAAACTTATGGATATTAAAAGTCTAGAAAAATTCTTTAAAAAAATAACAGGAGTAAATGACATAAAAAGAATAATAATAGAGAAGAGTACTCAAGACTCTAAAATACAGATCCTGATACGAAGATATCAGAATTATAGAGTCGATCTTGACATAGAGCAGAATTAGAATTTGTACAAAAGAGGAACAAAGTAACTTGTCTTGTGTATCTGTATAAAAGTAATTTTTATTTAATTGAAATTTATTTTCCATTATTTTTAAACCAGGAATCTCCGCGAAAGACTTCCCAAAACGTAACAATACTGGAGTTTTTATTTATCAAAAGTACTTACGTGTCTTTCCAGGTCTGGTATGTTTAACGCTTAAAGTATTTATCGTAAATATCAAACCGTGATGATTATAACTCATTGTGTAACCAGGCAAATGTCCGGCATAGCATAAAGAAGTAAATTTCTCTTCTTTAAATTGCCACTTTCCTTCAAGTTTCTCAGGAATTATGTGAGCCGATACGAAATAAATATGGTTTAGAGTGTCGCTTAGCGCATCCTCGGTATGTCCTAGTATTTCCTAAAAACAAAATATGATGAGCTAATATAAATACCTATAAGATATTGATTATTACAATTTGGATTTTGTGATATTTTTTGTTTTTTTTTATGGTTGACTTGGGGCCCTCATTAAAAATTGGAAAGGTCAGGTAGCGTAATGTTTGAATAATGTACTGGATTCAATGACAATCAGCCTTCCTGGACGTAAGAAAAGCCTTCGACAAAGTCTGGCATAAAGGACAGAATGGACTTTCATATAAAATGAGAAACTATGGATACAGCGGAGCTAAGACAGGACTAATTTCATCGTACCTGGGCGGCCTGAGCTTCAGAGATTGGATAGGACCAGTCAGTACATAGCAATGGCAATTTGAACAATGACTAATGATACATCCTCGAGAGCCAAGTCGCCGAACTGGGCCTAGTCGGGAGCAGCAACTTCTGGCCCGAATAAGCAATTTCAGAATCGATGATAAGTCACCGGAGACAGCTGGAAAATAGCACATTAGACTAACCTGCTTTAATCGGGATACGATATCGTGTTGATGAGTTGTACCCAGGGCTTACACACGACAAGTACAGGACAGCTGAAAGAGAGCCTCTATCACGCATCAGTGGAGCATTGGGCCGGTGGAGTGACTCCTGATTATACGAGTTAACCCTCCTCGCCCCAATGAATTGTAACACCCGAGTGTCATTCTAACTTCATGGTATTTTATTTTTATTACGTACAACATACAAACTATTGACTCACCCTATATGTATGACTTAATACATACCTGACCTTTTTGATTAACACAAATCGAGCTGCAACCAACAGGCTGTTGTACTTTTGGTTCTTCATTAATAGCTAAAGCCATTATGTCATCCATGTGGAACAGGAACAACTAAAAAATATATTAATAAATACCGAAACGATTAAATAGTCATTTTCATTATTTATTTTTATTTTACACGATTTGTTGGAATTTCAATAAAAGTCCGCACAAATGTTAAGCAATTATATTCAGAATTTTAAAAACAATCTATCGTTGTCCTGTCATAATCTTCTTTTCTACTATTAAAACGGAAAAACGTGTATAATGATCAGTTATACATAAAAAAACTTATGTTGACAAAATGTCAACAATGAAGAATAATATTAATGTTAACTAATTTACGTTTTATGACATAGTTTTGATAAAGACCAGGAATACCTGTCAAAATGTCAACTAAAATATAGAGCCTTATATAATAATATTTAATTTTGACAAAACTATATACAAGGTAGCACAGAGGAAAGTATGAAGAGTTGGAATCATCCAAAGGGATGAAAATGTTATACAGCATTTCTAAAGTAAGGGACAATGCGTGTGGCAGATTAAAAGTGCGGATGGAAGAATGTTAAGAACCGATTTTTAAATAAAGCGAAGATGGTTGATGAATCTTCTTCTTCGGTATATTTCTCACTTGTAATATGTCCGAGATATTCCAATTTTCTTGTTTTAATTGTATTTAAAATTTCTATTTCTTTATTCATCCTTCTCAGAACCTCTTTGTGGCGTGTTCTGTCCACGATATTTTCAGAATTCTTCTATACATCCACAGCTCGAATGATTCCAGTTTTTTCATTGATGTCGCATTTAAGGATCAAGATTCCATTCCATAAAACAAAGTCGAAAAAACATAGCACCTCGCGAACCTAACTCTTAGTTCCAATTTTAAATCCTTTGTACAAAACACTCTTCTCATTTTGTTGAAATTTGCTCTAGCCTTTTCTATTCTGATTTTGATTTCCTGAATGTAATCATATGTGGAGTTAATCATTGTTCCCAGATATGCATATTTATCCAACACCAGGGAGAGGCAAAGAATGCGGGATCGCAAATGAAAATGTAAGACTAGGGATAGCCAGAGATGAACTTGTCGAGGCTTTTAATAGGACGAAAAACGGTAAGGCAGTAGGACCTGATGGAATAGCCGTGGAGGTTTGGAAGACTCTAGAAGAGGAAGAGGTTGATATTTTGTGGTAAATGATGAGTAGGATATATGAGAAACAAAGGATACCAATGCAGGGAGACAAAGTGTGATGGGACCATTGTATAAAACTAAAGAGGACATTCAGGACTGTAAGAACTATAGAGGGATAAAGTTAATGTCGCTCACAATGGAAAATTGGAAGAGAACTGTAGAGCAAAGGTTAAGGATGAAGACATCGATAAGAGAGGAACAGTTTGAGTTTATGTCAGGAAGGGGGATAACGGATATGTTGAAACACTTGATAGAGAAATGCAGCGAGGAGAAAAAAGCTACATTACATATTTATAGAACGGTCGAAAGCGTACGAACCAATATTAGTAGTAAATTAAAAGTATATTTGAAAAGATAATTTGCTAAAATTGTTTAGAATATGTCACTCAAAGCACAAGATAGTACATTAACATCAAAAAGTGTTAACAAATATCCTAAAATGCAATTTTTATAGTCTTAAATATAAACAAATTTTTTACCTTAAAGAATGGCACATTTGCCCCTTCAGCAATTCCTTCCAACTCCCTGACATACTGAGGAAAATTCTTTTTTACTGAAGCAAGAGTGTCGTCATATGCCTTTTTGCCTTCAGGTGTGTTGTAAGCGGGTAATAGATCCTCTTCTAATGCTGTGTTCCCAGTTACGAAGCTGTGGATTAGGCCGGAAAACGTTCTTCCCTTTAACAAGTTTATAAAAATGGTAAACGTTTTAAAGATAAAAGTTTTTGATATGAAATGCATAGTTTTTTAGTATATCGAATAATATTTACAATTCATTATCTCTTAATTATTAATTTATTTAGCTCAACAGATCTTGGAGGTTTAGGGCTTTAAGATATTTATACAATTTACGATTAGATATTATTTAATGTAATTTTATAAACTCAATTCTTTGGTATTTTCACTGTTGGACAAAGGTTTAATAAATCTTCTCTTTTGGGCTTGTACCGAGAGGAAGAAAAATGTTTTTCTTTTAAGTTTAGTATACCCTGTAGCAAGCACAAAGTACAAGTGTGGGTTTACATTGAAACCATGTTGTAGTCTCATGTTTTGTGAACATTTTGTTTTTTAATTACCCTGATATCTTTAAAAACAAAGAAAATAGGTGGTTTTATTCTTTAATGCGTGTTTTAACTGAAACAATACTAAATTAACAATAAAAAATAACAACACTTATAACAAAACTTTAAAAACAGAAAGAAAAAACGTAAACTAATATCGCGTGTCTTCCTATATATTTTTAATAACAGCTTTATATTATTATGTTAATAACCATAGTTTCTGTATCATTCATACTGTAAATGGTAATGCTCAATTTGGCTCTTCAGTATTTGCGGCTAGCAATACAACCTTCAGTATTGTCAAGACATCTAAAAATGTACCTCCCAGCATCAGGACTTTACTGCAGACGAAACTTTTGAAGAAAGAGCTAACATTATATGTTGGCTACAAGTACCAAAAGAAGGCACTGAGAAGGTAAGGAATATATCAAGGATTCATAATATGTAATTGCAATTCCAAAATCAAAACACGTTTTCTAAGAAAATAAAATTTTAAACTTTTTAGTCCCTACCGGGGCGAAGTGATACATGTATCACTTCACCTTAAACTAAAATTCCAATTAGAATACCAACATAACCAATTTGTAGTTGACATTTAATGTAATGCAAAAATACTACTGACAGTGTTGCCATAATATAAAATATTTCTTACTGTAACATATAAAATTCAAAATCGGATAAGAACACAATATATAATTTCAGATAAAACAAACATGACAAGGTTTTACAAGAGACCCCCTGGGACAAAACCTTGGGTGGGCAGTCAACTAAGTTCCATGGAGGAGTGTGTTTTGAAAGGTAGGTAGGGCTCCATAACCATATAAACATATATATGTTATAATAAAAAAGTTATTCATTTAAAAAAGGTTATCAAAACATTTCTTTTTTCAGATAATATCATCATTCTTGGAGAATGGGGTTTCCGATTAACTTACTTGGATCTGCGTCTGGTTGTCAAAGAATATTTGGACAAACAAGGGAGGACTTTAAGAAATTTAAAAATAACTTACCAGGTAAGGATTGGGCTATTTCCTTCCTTAAGAGGCACAAAGAACAGCTTAGCTCAAGAATGAGCCAAAATATCAAAAGGGCACGAGCAGGCGTTTGTGCGCAAACAATAAATGAGTATTTTGACAATCTTGAACAAACTCTTAGGGGTGTCCAGCCTTGTAGCATCTGACTGACTTACATTTTTGAAGTAAAAATGTAAGTCAAAGACAGCTGTTGTCGTTACTGTATGTGGTAACCATGTTTTATAAAAAACTTTTTAATGTGAATTATACATATGTATAAGGGTTAGACCCAAGATCTGTGGCCTACAGAGCCCGATCTTTGATTTTTAATATGTCTTTTGTCCACAATTTTCCTTCTATGAAGTATTTATTGCCTAATTGACGATAGCTCTGATGATGACATTTATTTTGTCGAAAGTATACTTAGCTTAATTAATAAATTAATTTACACACTATCAATTTTGTTAAAAACATACAAAACCTGCTTACCAGTTAGACCAATACTAATTTTGTTTCTTTGTTATACATTAAGAAACTCGTCAACTGAATAATATGGTCTTTCTGAGAGATAGATTTTTGTCACCTTACGAAACTTAATGAAGGATGTTGTGGATTTAATTTCTCTTGGAAGGTGATTATAAAGTTTCTTTGCACGATATAGAATAGAATTATTTACTAGCTGAGTGGACGGGATCGGCAAATAAACGTTACAATCCGAATTTCTAATGGAGTAGCCATGGTCAGGTCTATCAGGAAAAATGTTTAGATGCTTTCGAATCAAACAAACCGTTTTCAAAATAAATAAAGAGGGAAGCGTCAAAATTCCGTGATTTTTTAAGTAGGTCTTGCAATGAGTTGTTTGTTTGAGACCAAATAGATAACGGATTGCTCTTTTTTTGCAACTTAAAAATAGTATCAAATTGGGCCGCTGTACTAGAACCCCAAAATGGAAGCCCATATCGAAGATGGGACTCGAACAATGAGAAATATGCCATTTTGGCAGAAGATAAATTTAGTTCTTTCGAAACAGATCTTATTGCAAAGCAAGCTGAGGCTAGTTTCTTCCTTAAGGAGTCAGTATGCAAGGACCATTTGAGATCACTGTCAATGAGAATACCTAGAAATTTCACGGAATTTACGATATTGATTTGGCTCTCATTCAAAAGCAAGGGTTGCATGACTCCTTTATAAGATAATGCTACAGTCTTATCCACGTTAAAGCTAAGTAAGTTGGAGTTTGACCAAGCCTTGATTATAAGTAAATCAGCGGTTATAATTGAATGAAGCGTTGAAATATCAGAGCTGCTCCAAGTAATACTGGTATCATCAGCAAAGAGAAAAATTTTCCCTTTAATTTTCAAGTAAGTGATGTCATTAATGAAAAGTAAAAAAAGAATGGGACCTAATACTGAACCTTGAGGTACCCCACACTCAATATCTTTACAACTAGAGTCGGTGTCATTTATTCTAACCAATTGTTTCCTACCTACCAAGTAAGTTTTGAACCAGTTCAAAGACACACCCCGAATGCCATAGAAAGTTAATTTTTTTAATAGAATGTCGTGATTTACGCAGGCAAAGGCTTTGGAATAGTCGCAGAAAACGGTGGCGGAGGAGAGGTTACTATTTAGTGATAGATATACATCATGTAACACAGAAAATATGGCATCACTAGTGCATTTATTAGACAAAAAGCCGAACTGATTTTGCGATAAAATATTATACTTAAGGAGAAAGGGCATAAGTCTAACTTTTATTAGTCTTTCAATAATTTTTGATAGTGCTGGTAACAAGGCAATAGGTCTATAGTTGCAGGCATCAGATTTTTCTCCACCTTTATGAAGTGGAATGACGATGGCAGTCTTTAGGCAGTTAGGAAATGTACCTTTTTCAAGGGAATCATTTACTAGCGAGACCATGACCTCCAAAACATTATGCGGTAGATTTGAGAAAATTTTCCTCCAGAAAGCCTCCCACTAATAACTGTAGAATGGACGTCAGCGGGTGGAAAATCGGAAACCACATAATCAATTGTCGAGAATGATGTTCTTGAGATTCTTGTTGGAGAATTAACGTGCATTGTGAGACCATATGATTCAAAAATGGTTACCAAAGACAGTTTAGTCGCACAAACAGCAGCGTAGTCAATATTAAAATCACCACATAAAATTTTTCTGCTTTTAATGGGCAGAATATCTAACAAATTTAGCAGGCTCTGAAAAAATAGTTCAATATCAGAGCTAGGTGATCTATAAATGCAAATAATGTATAGATTAAATTTCTTATTATAAATCAAAGAAAATTCGAAGTAGTTTTCACCCAGCAAATAGTCATATTTCGAAACTGATGAAAAATCATTGTCATTTGAAAGAATCAGAGTGCCACCATGAGCTGAACTTGGACGATCATACCTAGCAATTGTGGTATATTCTTGAATGAAAATTGGCTCATTAACTTCAAGCCAGTGTTCCGTCACTGCAACTAACTGGGGAAACCCTAATTCTTCCAGAAACAAAAATAATTCGTCTGTCTTATTTCTAATCGATCGAATATTAATAAGAACCATGCCAAAGTTGCTAGCAGTTAAATTTGAGGATTCTAGACCCTCAGATTTCGACCCAAGATTTCGTCTTGGAGAAGCGGTGGAAAAGTAATTTTGATGACATTCCCTTGATCTTTGCAGATGGATAATTCTTTCAGCAGCGATAAAGGACCTAAACGCATATTGCACTATTTGTTTGGTTTTCCATAAGTTTTGCTAGCTCACATTATGTATTTGCTTCTTTTCGACATAATTATTATTAAATAAGTATTTTAAACCCGAACAGTTAGAAAAATCAGACACAACTGAATAAAAAGAAAAGTTTATCAATACATAGGTACATTTACTTAATAAGATGAGTACTTACCTATAAAAATTAATTTTTATCGACCAAGTTCCAGGGTTTACACGCTCAAGGCACGTTGCACATTCCCGTAATAAAATTTTATTATCGACCGAAATCCAAGATTCAAACTACTTTTAACATATTAATGAAATAGTAAACGTAAAATGATACCAAGTGGTTTGGACGATTTCTGATTGCACTCTTATTTTTAACAAGTATACCGAAATTTATAAGTAGAAAACATCCAATTCATTTGGATGTTTTCAACACAAAAAAATGCACAGTAGTTTTGTTCTCTCATGGAGTGTTAAAGTGATTCAACCCACTTAGCATGTTTTAACCACTCTTTTAACACCATTACTTATATCGACATACATTTTTTAGAAAAAATTCAACCCACTTGAATTTGTTATTATCAATGAAAATCTCAGTTCACCTAGTTTGTGGGTTAGAACTTTGACGATTATTAATAGAATATGTAATGTTTTCATTTGGACGGTTTCTGCATATTATAAAGTAAGACATTATATGGTCGCTGGTGTAAATAACTCATTTTTAACAATTTGTGGGTTGGACGTTTTCTGCTTAACTACGTCCAACTATGACGTGCAACGATTATCGTATTTACTGATGTATTAGATTAGATGCTTATTTATTCCCATTCATTCATTCAATTCTTGATTATAATTAACTGAATTCTTAGATGGATAGATTTC